TGCTCTTAATGTCGCTGAGCTCCATCTCCGCCGGAAATTTCACCATTCCAAACATCATCAAGTACCACCGCGGCTTCGACGACGCCTTTTTGTTCAGCGCATCAGGTCTCACGGCGCTCTTCATCGGATAATTACGATCGCCTTCCGCCGTGGGCGAGAAAATCGGATTCCCTTGGCGGTAGAGTTTCCGGTAATCGAGCGATTTACTGCTCCGCTTGAGGTTGATTTTTGAACTGTTCGATCGAGAAACAGAGCTCTGTAATCCGGACAACGACTCGGACCGTTTTCGAAAGGCAGCCTGCTTTCGGCTCTCTTCCTTTTTGAAATTCTTCTCCGTGGCGCGCGTAAGCGGAGTCTGATCGTTGAGAGGAAGCAATCTGCCGCAGAAGATCAAATCCTCGGCCGGAGATATCTCAGAGCTTCTGAGTCCGGTGGTGAAGAATTCGAAGAGATCGAGAGGCTCGGATGAGGATCTTCGCGGATTCTTGCGGAAGCCGTCGAAAGTGTGGTCGTCGGATTTGTCGTTATCGAGTGGAAGATCGGAAAGGGAGAGCGATTCGTGTTCTTCGTCTTCTCCTGTGTGATTCAAGGTCAGAGGATTGGATTCGTTGGTGTCGTCCATCTCCATGAACATTCTTGTGGATTGCAAGATAAGGAAGAAGGGTCTGTTTGGTGGAATTTTACAAATTGAGACGGCGAAAATGATATATAGAAAGAGAGAGAGAGAGATGAAAACAATGCTGCCTTTAATGTTTGGATTTTGGGAGCCAAATATCATCTCGTATTTTCCATCATTAATTTCAAATATATACGATACATGATCTCCTCATCTTTTACGATAGATTTTATTTTGGTGTATAAATAAAAAATAGGAAAGTACTTTGATTTTATTTAGGTGTATAAAAAAAAGAGGAAAATATTTGGATCATTTTCGATAACAACCTATCTCAATCACTATTGAAGGTTTAAAGAAATAAAAAAATTAATGAGTTGTCAAACATACAGTAGTAATAGATATGGAGACGGTCCTTACTAGTAAGAATCCAAGTATTTTCTTAAAAAATATATGTTATCTCATGTAAATTTCTAAAAATAGATAAGAGGTCTTAATTTCTTAACTTTTTTTTTT